GCTCGGATCTGGGACGACTTGCTCCGCAATCCTTTGCAGGGAGGAGCAGCGGGGAGCAGGGTGCTGGTGACCACCAGGAACGCAGGGATCGCGAGGCAAATGAAGGCGGCCCACGTCCACGAGATGAAGCTGCTGCCTCCGGAGGATGGCTGGTCGCTCCTGTGCAAGAAGGCGACGATGAATGCAGTGGAGGAAAGGGATGCCCAAGATCTCAAGGACACAGGCATGAAGATTGTTGAGAAATGCGGAGGGCTTCCCCTGGCCATCAAGACCATCGGAGGGGTCCTCTGCACCCGAGGACTCAACAGAAATGCGTGGGAGGAAGTCCTCCGCAGCGCCGCATGGTCACGGACCGGGCTTCCCGAAGGCGTGCATGGAGCACTGTATCTGAGCTACCAAGACTTGCCGTCCCATCTCAAGCAATGCTTTCTCTACTGTGCCTTGTTCAAAGAAGACTATATGTTTCACGGACCTGAAATCGTCAGATTATGGATAGCCGAGGGGTTTGTCGAAGCACGAGGAGATGTCAGCTTGGAGGAAACAGGGGAGCAATATTACATAGAGCTGCATCATAGGTGCCTTCTACAATCGCTGCAACCTTTCAGTCTGGACTACCATAATTATTCCAAGATGCATGACTTGCTGCGATCGCTCAGCCATTTCCTATCGAGAGATGATAGCTTGTGCATTAGTGACGTGCAAAACGAGTGGAGAAGTGGTGCCGCCTCGATGAAGCTGCGTCGGTTGTCGATTGTGGCCACTGAAACCACGGACATCCAGCATATCGTCAGTTTGACCAAGCAGCATGAGTCGGTGAGGACATTGTTGGTGGAGATAGCAAGGGGCCATGTGAAGGATATAGATGATTACTTGAAGAACTTTGTGAGACTTCGAGTCCTGCACCTTACTTACACAAAAATCGAGAACCTACCGCACTACATCGGAAGTTTGATACACTTGAGATACTTGAATGTGTCTTGTAGCGATATAACGGAGCTTCCAGAAAGCATATGCAATCTGACGAATTTGCAGTTTTTGATCCTCAGAGGATGTGATCAGTTGAGACATATCCCCCAGGGTATGGCTAGGCTATTCAATCTAAGGGTACTCGATTGTACATACACACGGCTGGAGAGCTTACCATGTGGAATAGGAAGGTTGAAGCACCTCAATGAACTCGGAGGATTCGTGATGAACATGGCTAATGGTACGTGCCCATTGGAAGAATTGGGCAGCCTCGATGAGCTTAGATACCTCTCCATTTACAACTTGGAGAGAGCGTGCATGGAAGCTGAACCGGGAAGAGATACGAGCGTCTTAAAGGGTAAACAAAAACTGAAGAATCTACATTTACATTGCTCATCCACACCGACATCCGATGGTCACACTGAGGAACAGATTGAAATAATCGAGAAGGTGTTGGATGTGGCACTTCATCCACCATCATCTGTTGTTTCGCTCAGTTTACACAATTTCTTCGGCCTCCGGTACCCAAGCTGGATGGCGTCTGCAAGCATCAGTTCGCTTCTTCCAAACATAAGACGCTTGGAACTAATTGACTGCGATCATTGGCCACAGCTTCCACCACTAGGCAAGCTCCCCAGTTTGGAGTTTCTTAAAATAGGAGGTGCACGTGCAGTGACCACCATCGGACCGGAATTTTTTGGGTGTGAAGCTGCTGCTGCTTCTGGTCATGAACGGGAACGGAATTCAAAGCACCCTTCTTCTTCTTCTTCTTCTTCTCCCCCTCTTATGTTGTTTCCGAGACTAAGGCAGCTGCGACTCGCGGATATGATTAACATGCAAGTGTGGGATTGGGTAGCGGAAGGTTTTGCTATGGGTCGCCTCAACAAATTGGTCCTCAAAAATTGCCCCAAGTTGAAGTCTCTACCGGAAGGCCTGATCCGACAGGCAACCTGCTTAAACACATTGTATCTGACCGATGTGTGCGCTCTCAAGTCCATCAAAGGTTTCCCTTCTGTGAAAGAACTGAAATTAAGTGGTGAATCAGATCTGGAGATTGTTGCTGATCTCCCTGCACTGGAAGTCTTGTATTTGGGCCTGTTTGGGAGTCGCAACAATCGTTTACCAGAGTGGTTGGCGCAACAATCGTTTACTACGTTCCAGAGACTGGACGTAAGTGGAACCACCCAACAACTCGTCAGATGCCTCCAAAATGGCGCAGACTGGCCCATAGTCAAACACTTTCCAATCTTTTCCATCGAAGATTTACGAGGCAATTATATAAACTACAACAAGCATTCCTGCACCTTCGACACAAACCTAGTCGATGATGATGCTGTTTTTGCTGCTGTTGCTGCTGCCGAAGAAGAAGAAAAAAGAAGAAGACATCAATGATCTTTGAGGTAACTTACCTTTCATGCTCACGTCTCGACCATCTAACGTCTTCTGGTTTTGGAGTGGCAACTCACAATCATCTTTTGCTGCTTATGGCAGGGAGATCGACATAATTCACGATGTAATTGGCAGTCATGTCTAATATGATCATTGCAAATGGAGCTGACCATTGTCTGTCTGTTTCCTCGACTTCCCTCACCTTCTTATACCTGTAGCCCTTTTTTCTATGGTGATTAATTCAATGCTGTCTATGTTGGCAGTGAAATGTCTTGATCAGAGTATTTGTAGCATGTCATTGGTTTTGGAATGTTAGATCCGAAAAAAGATTATCAGAACGAATCAGGATTATACTTTTTTTTTTTTTGTAGTTTTATAATTATTCATGAGATTTTGAATGATCAAAATGCAGCTACTAGATATCAAAATGACTCTTGTCAGAAATAGTACTGCACATGAGAGTCTAACATAGTTTTCCATTTAATATTTGTGAATGTAATTTTATTAATCATTCCAAGTCTATGGATGTAATTTAGAGTTGAAACTAATAGAAAAATGTTATTTAATTTTTAGATTAAACAAAATTATATATATGTATACATATACATATGTATATATATATATATATATATACATATGTATATATATATATGTATATATA